TCTTTTCTAACTTCTGGATTTTTATTTCGCTGACATCTACTGGAATTTGTCGACATTTGTTGATAAATTTAGAATACTTCAACAGCTGTACTTCACAAGGGGAATTCGGAGATATTCTTAAGGTCTGGACATCTTGGCAGAGAAATCCATCTTGAGTAACTTCTTTGCACCCCAAGTTTAAAAGTGCATATTGCTGCTCATTTGAGAGAAGAAATTTGGATTGAGGAATAATGGTTTTAAAGGATTCTATGGAACGTATAGGTAGAGAGTACAGGTGATAGTAGTTATAATTATTGGATTCTACTATGGGTATTTCAAGTAGAAATACAATTTTATTATTTTTACTATAGCTTTTGATTTCGATTATTTTTTCAAAATTTAAAATATTATTTAAGGAGAGTTCAAATGGAAATTTTTCATTATTGTTAAGATTTTGACTAATTAGTGATATTTCAGAAAATAGTTCTGTAGGATCTGCAATAGCATTATGAAATGTATTAAGTTTTGAAAAGCTAATGGCTATCTCTATTTTTTCCAGTATGTCATATATAATTTGAAAACTAATAGAAAATTGTGAGACAATTCTTTCCAGTGCAAAATAATGAAATGTTTCCGTTTTTTCTATATTTAAATTTTTAATTAATTTTTGTATTTCATTAATACGAGAGCTCAATATTAATTGATTATGAGCTAATAATTTAGAATTGTTTTTAAAGTTTTGAATTGAATTTTGTAAAATAGTAACTTGGTGCTCGATTAAAGTTTTAATTTTATTTTGATTGATAGACAAAGATGTTATGGCTTCGTCATATCGTTTTGCATCGTTTTGGTCTAAATTACCTGTTAAAAACTTTATTGCTGAACCGAGTCCATCGAAAAGGGATCTCTTTGATCTAGACTTCCAAAAAGGATTTAACTGATTTAATTGAATGGTTATTTTATTTTCGATAATTTGAATCATGTGATATGAGTTTTGAAATTCTTCTTTGAAACTAAAACTTTCGGGAGTTGTAGAGAGAGAAATGTTTAATTTATTATATTGCTCTTGCAATGTCAAAAAGTCTATTGTAATGTTTGTTATGTCATAAATATGTATAAATGTCCAAAAATTTGTTTTAACTTGTGCTGTTCCTAAATGAAGAGGGAGGAGACCTGGATTGTCGTTTAAGTTATGGAATTGAGGAATGTCTAGTCTTGCGGCTGTGGTCCAGAAGAGGAATCTGCAACAGGAGGTTTCCTTAATTCGTTTATGTGTATAATTTCTTTATGTAAGACTAATTTTTTATGTTTTAATGCTTCTCTGGAAATTTCAACGCGATTTCTATCAATAATTTGAGTAATTTTGAAAGGTCCTAAAAATCTTTTATCTTTTTTATTTCGCTTTTTTGGATTTACTTTATAGACGGTTTGATTAACTTGGAATTCCGGATTAGTTTCACCTTTTTCGTTTCTTTTTTCAATAATTTTATTTTTTTTATCATTTAAATTCTTATGCACACCCTTGTAAACGTGTTCCAATTTTTCTTTATGTTTATTAACGTAATCTGTATAAAAATCATGAGGAAGGAAAATTTCGTTAGGATTTCTAGAGTCTGTGTGTCCGAAGGTAAGTTCAAATGGAGTAAAATTTGTCGAACTATGTATAGAGTTATTGTATCCAATTATTGCATAGTCCATTAAATCATTTTCATCTGGGTAAATTTCACGTAAAAGTCTTAAATGTTCAATTAATGTCGAATGTATTCGTTCAGCTATTGAGTTAGATTCATGGTGACCAGGAGTTGTGAAATGAACTTTAATTTTGTGTAATGCTAAAAGATTTTTTACTGTCTCGTTATTAAATTCAGTGCCTTTATCTACTACAATTAGTTGAGGAACGCCAAATGAAGTGAAATATTTTATCAGTGCTTTACTGACATGAATTGCGGTTTTTCCTGGAATGAAGAATGCTTGAGCTAATTTTGTGAAAGCGTCAGTTAGAGTTAAATAATTTTTTGCATCGTAAGTAAATACGTCCATGTGTACAATTTGGAAAGGTTTTGTAGCTGTCTCAGTAAGCATTAGCGGAACATAGGGGTTTTGTCTGGCATATTTATTTTTTTGACAAATAGAACAAGCGTTAATATAATTTGTGATAGATATTTTCATATTTTTCCAATAATAATTTTGACGTAATTTTTCTAAAGTTTCATTAATACCTCTATGCGTTGTTTTTCCTTCATGGTAATTTCTAAGCAAAAGAATTTGTTCTTCTTTATCAGAAATAGTGTTAAGTAATTTTGTGCATTTAACTAATTTTGGTCCATTTTCCGAAAAGTGTTTTAAATAAACATTATTAAAATCTCTATATAAGTTTTCTCTATTAAAATGAAAGTAAAATGTACTTTTTAGATCAGTAAATTCAACTAGAAATTCAAATATAAATTTTTCATTATCGGTTTCTGGAATTTTAATTTTTATAATTTTTTGATTTTCATAAGTTTCGTGAGTGATATCGGTTTTTTGATAAAGATTTGGATAAACTAAAATTTGGTGTGTTTTATTATTTATGATTTCATCTAAGATGGGTATGCCGTTATTTGTTGTTTCGTTTGCTGTCGAATGTTGCGTCGAATCGTCAGAATCGTCTGTGTCATCTGTCCAGTTAGGTTCAGGGGTATTTAATTCATTTCGTGTGTCATTAATTGTAGGAGGAGGAATTTTTATATTTGAAATTATATTAATTTTGGATTTATTCGTTTTATTTGTGGAAGGTTGTGTTTCTTTTGGAACATTTTCAGCTAAATTTTGCAAAAATTCTAAAATGTCATTACCTGCATCTCCGGTATTATTAACTACTGATTCATTTTCTAGGGCGTTAAGTGATATACGGGATAAACAATCTGCATTTGTATTATTTTTGCCTTTTTTGTAAATGATTTTATAGTCGTACTCTTCTAATTTGAGCCTCCATCTTACTAGTTTAGAGTTAGGCTCTTTTAAACTAAATAACCACGTTAATGGTTTATGGTCACTGTATATATAAAAGGATCTCCCATACAAATAAGGTCTGAAATGCTTGCAACTCCAAACAATTGCAAGTAGTTCCTTTTCAATAGTCGAGTAATTTGTCTCTGAGTCATTTAGGGTTCTAGAAGCATACGCAATAGGCCTATCGTTTGGTACAGTACCTTGCGATAAAACTGCACCTATAGCATAGTTACTAGCGTCTGTCGTTAGTATAAAAGGTTTATTAAAGTCTGGGTATTGCAGTATAGGGTCGTTTGTCAAAATGTCTTTACATGTTTGGAAACAGTCTATAAAATCTTTATTATGAATTACCTGAGCGCCTTTTTTCAAACATTTTGTTAATGGCTTTGTAATTTTAGCAAAGTCACGAATAAAGCGTCGGTAATAACCTAAGAGTCCAAGAAAACTTTTAATGTCAGTCTGAGTTTTGGGAATTGGAAAATTTTTAATAGCCGAAATTTTATCAGGATTTGGTTTAACTCCAGAGGGGGTAATTACATGTCCTAAATACATCACTGATTTTTGAAGAAATTCTGATTTGTCTAGCTGAACTTTTAAATTATGTTGTCTGAGTCTGTCGAATACGGTTTTTAAACGTTCTAAATGTTCCTGAAGGGAAGTACTGTAAATTAAAATGTCATCTAAATAAACAATACATTTTTCGTCTGTCAGTCCTCGTAATACATTGTCCATTACTCTTTGAAATGTGGAAGGGGCATTTTTCAATCCAAACGGCATTCGTTTAAATTGAAAATGACCTTGTGGGGTACTAAATGCGGTTTTGTCTACGTCATTGGGGTCTACTTCAATTTGGTGAAAACCACTAGCTAGATCGAGTGTCGAAAAATAATTTGCTCTACCTAATCTGTCCAGGATTTCCGTAATGTTCGGAAGGGGGTATTTGTCATTTATTGTTCGTTCGTTAAGTTTTCGATAGTCGATAACGCAACGCCATTTTCTTTTCCCGCTTGCATCTTGTTTTTTAGGAACTATCCAGATGGGGGATGAGAATGGTGACGTCGAGTTTTCAATTATGCCGTCATCTAACATTTTTGCTATTTGCCTTTTAACTTCATCTCTATGTATTTCAGGAAAACGATAAGATTTTGTGTAAATTGGTGAATCATCAGTTAATGTAATTTTGTGTTTAATTTGATTTGTGAAACTTAATGGGATACCTTCACAATAAAAAATATCTCTATACTGAAAACAAACATTTTTGAGAGATTCTTTCTCCTCTCTGTTACAATGGTTAAGCCTGATATTTTTTAAATTTTCTTTTAATTTATTATCATGAAAAGTGTCATAATTCGGATCTGAATCGACTTCCATTTTGTCTAGAAAATTGACTTCAATTAAATTCAAAGTTTCGATATCAAAAGGTTCAAAAATATCTAATTTTATAGGATTTTCATTTAAATTAGTGACAGTGGTTATAGCAAAATTGTTAGTTACATTTACCAAAGCTTTAGGCATCTCAAGACCTTTTCCTAAAATTTTATAGTCAAGTACGCCTAAACCATTTTTTAAATTTACCGGTAATTTTACTATCTGTTTGCAACGTCCAGGTATAGTCAGTGAATAATTATTTTGTCGGTTGTCATGAGGGTCTGTGTCCAAAATTAAAGGAATAACTGCTTTAGGGGTTACTATTTCATTTTTATTTACATTTATATTTGCATTTAATTGTTTAAGTAAATCTACGCCTATGATGCCATCAAATCGGTTACTAAACTTAAAAAGATAAAATTTATGATAGTCTTGCAAATTAAATATTTTAAAAAGAGGAATGCAAGCGACTTCATCGTGATATGAAATATTATGAGCTGTCTGAATATTAAATTTCTCTTTGATTATATAATTTTGATAATACCTGTATGCCAAATTTGGATCAATTAAAGATTTCGAGCTGCCTGTATCGATAAGAAAAATTGCGTTAATTTCGGGAATTTTGATATATGGTAAATTTGCTTTTAATGCGTTAACAAAGATTATGTCGGATTGCTGGAACTCGGCGCCTGGATAAAATCCTGACTCGGGTTATTTGCATCAGCTGAGAGTGTGGGATTTGTACATAAGTCATTACTATGGGAATATGTAGTGTTATCATTTACAAGTGTCGAGAAATTATTATCATAGGAGTATTGAATTGCAGGAGAATAAGAATAAGGGTCAATGTCATTGTCTATTTGCGTATGGTATAAATTTTGATTATCGTGACAGTCGTATTGATTTTCATATTGTTCAAATTGTTGATACTGATATGGATTTTCAAATTGTTGAGGGTTGTATGAATTTTCAAATGGTTGATTTTGATAAAGGCAGTTAATATTTTGATTAAAAAGTTCTGTAGAAGTAAATTGTTGTTTTGGATGAATTCTAGTATTACCTGAAGATGTATCCATAGGTTCAGGTTTGGAATTTTGAGAATAATTTTGATTATTAATTTGTGGTTGATTAAAAGTACGGGGTTTCATTTGATTATTGTTTTGATTTTGGAAAAATGGGTGACGTTGGGTAGGGAAATTGTTATTTGGTCTAAATTGAGAATGATTTAGAAAAGGTGCTCTTGGCATAAAATTTGGTTGAAATGTAGGACGAGGCAATTGTGGAAGTGGTTGATGAGAATTTAAATTACTAAAATTTGGGTTAAATGTTGAATGGGCTCTATAATTTGGATTTATGGCAGGGGTGATTCTTAAATTAGGTTTAAATGATGAATTTGAATTTATATTATTTGATTTTTGAGTGGAATACAAGAAATTTTCTTCTTCTATAACTAAACTCATAGCTTTTTCTAAACTATCAGGTACTCTTAATCTAACGTTTGTTTGAATAGGTAATGGTAGTCCTCGAATATATGTTTTTAGTGCCAAATCATCATAATTTGAAAGTCTGATTGCGCGTTCATTATCGTGTAAATTTAAAGAATTTAATTTTGAAATAATAAGACTCCTGGAATCTTGACATCTCATGCCAAAATTATAGGGGCTTTCATTTTTTAAAGGACGCAAATTTATTAAATCTTGAACTAAGCAATCTATATTACGTTGATCTCCAAAACTGAGGTTTAATGAGTTTTTAACATCAACCCATGTTTTAAGCTCTGTTCGGGAACCAATTAATCTTTGGGCTCTCCCTGAGAGTTTGCCAATTATAGCTTTTAATAAAAATGAATTTAAAGCAAGATTATTTGGACTGGCAAAAACTGATATCAAACTTTCACAATTTTCGATAAAAATACTTAAAATATGAGGATTACCATCGAATGAAGGAATAGAATCTAAATATAATCTAAGCATTTGATAATCTACTGGAGGGGGACTCATTTCTGAATTATTTTCTAAATTATCTGAACTATTTTCTAAAGAACTTAAATTAAAACTGGTTTGAAACAAATTAACTAAATCGAAAATTTCGTGTTCACTCATAAAATAGATCAAACACTATTAATAATAATTATAACTACTATAAGTAAAATTAAAAGGAATTAAAAGGAAATAAAAGGAATGAGCACTTACAATATAATGAAGATTTTCATTCTTCTTATCTGCTAAGGGTTTGGACGATGTGTGTTCTTCTCCTAGGTGTAGAATTCGTTTTCGTCTTCTTCAAAGTACACTCAATGTTCGATCAACTGCAACTGTCTGTTCGCGACCCGATATTCTTTCGAATAGAAAACAGAAAAATCCGATATACTTTCGAATTTATAGCTCACAGTATCACAAAGTTCGTTATTTTGGTTAATCGTTGATACGAAAAATTGCCCGTGCGATACGTTCAATTTCCAAAATATCCTACTCACAGACTGCGCCAATTAAGTGTGAGCACTTCGAAAAAGACTTTTTAAAAAACAAAAATTTAAATGAAACCTTTATTAACAGAAAGCTAACAATGATCTGATCTTTTTTTATTCTGACTTATATTTATAATTTTAGTCCAGAGTGCAACGTAAGCACTATTCTTGTATTAGTCGGCGGGATTGTTTCCATAACTTACGACATATATTGATATTAACTTTTCTTCTTAAAATCACCTAAGGATCCACACCCTTAAGTATCAGCACTCAATTAATAAACACCCTGTATATTGTGAACATAATAGACTCTTTTATGATATAAATAGATTATCTTTGCATAATAATCATTTTTACTTTATAAATAGGAGTAAAACCTTATTATTTTTGTTATTCGAGGTAGCTTTAGTGTAGGCTTTAGTCCAGAGTTATCTTAAATATCCATTTAAGTGTATTATTACTTAATAACATTTTTAAAAATAAAAGATCCGTTTTGGAATTTATAATTATAAACAACTTTTTGTAAATACTAATTAAGAAAAAATACATAAATATTTACCTATATTTATCACTGTCATTAATATCCTCATTATCATCTTCATCAAACTCTCTCCTATGCCTATTATTCTCCAAAGAACCTTTGGCTTTCCTATCTTTAACGAAATATTCCTTAGTAACCAACTGTTCATAATTCCCTTTATGTTTAACAGAATTATCCTGTTTACACATCCCTTTTTTCTTATTATATTTAATACACACTGGATTCTTGTAAATGTACGTAGTCACGACTTTGATTGCCTTAGTTTTTGCCACCGGGGAAGGCTTAATCGAAGGCATGTTGTTCGGAATCGGAACGTCCCCTAGATAGGGCAATTTCAAAGAGGGGAAGCGATCCATGTAATTCCCCGGATTATATAACTTCGCACATTCTTGCAAAAGATTGGCGCGAACTTTAACGGTAAACACCGTTACTAACACAATCGAGAGATGCATAATTGCATCGAAATGAGATCCGCGTATGTACAAGAATTGTAACTGAACTAGCTGGGAGAAATAAAAAGTAAGTTATTTATAATCTCCCTCTAGATAGATAGAAGTACCGTTAATATTGTATAGAAATTCTCGATCACGATTACTTTGTCTGTTTTCGGACATTTAAAAAGTATAATAAAGATCAATAAACGAGAAAATTGAAATTTCATGTTGAATTATAGAATTTACTTTCTCTGAAATTAGTGTTTTAGACAACAGAAAAACTTTTCATTTCATTGTAATATTGAAAAAGAAAATATGAATATGCGCAAACAACATTTTTCTAATAGCTTTTTAAAAATTCTCGGAAAATTGTTTTTGTCTTAAGGCGGTGATAACAAATATATTAGCATAGGAAAATTTTTCTACATGCAAGACGGACTTAATAGGCAATAATTCAGTGCGAATTTACTTTTATAATATTCTAATGGTATTAAACAATTTCCTGAATATACTAAAAAGTGAATAAAATGAGAAAATGAAGATAAAGAACAAAATTGTAAAAATGTTATATGTTAAAAAGTTATCAAATATCCCTATAAAAACTATTTCAGGAAATAGAATATACTCCCCATTAGAGGCTCCACATAAAAAATTTAAAATTTTTTTCTTTCATTTACAAGTTGTTTACAGCAGTAAATGTTTTAATATTAAGGTCCAACTCAATTTTGTTTGACATAATAATTTTTTTTTAGGTTAGAAAACTTGCATTAAACCTCCGAGCAATTACTAATAGAGGGAGCGTGAAAACGAGTTTGTAGGCGATTGTTGTGTTAGCAACATCTGTAGAGGAAGTGAGGAAGCGGGCACAAGGGGGAAAGTAAACATCCTTCTTGTTCAGTGGCGTATCATTTATCTATAAAAACACATTGTCCAAATGTTTTAATTGTAAAAAAAACTAAAAAATTTGCTAATTATACTATTTTTAAAATGAATACCGTCTTATATGTGTCTAATGCAAGAAAAGAAACAAAATCACTGTAAAGGTCTAATTTTTTCAATTGTAGAATAAAACCTTAAAATCAATTTTATTATAAATACAGGAGCAACTAGTTTCGGCCTTACCGGAACATCTTCAGGCCTGTAATACAATAATCTTTAATTATTATAATAGGTTGGTCACTTACGAATAACATTAAATAGTATAAACCACATAAATGGATCCATATTGTAGCGTTACAGCATTATAGAATTGAAGCTGTGAAAATAAAAGAGCAGTGCAAACATAACTAAAAATAAGAAAACTGAGTACGGAATCTACAAGAGAAGAGGTGAGAATGAGCAATTACGAATGCATTTAAATTGCTCTGGATAACAAATAAAGCTGATAATGTAGTGGTATAGTCCCCGTCAAGAAGGTCTGGATATGTTAAAGAGGACGGCGTTTTCTCTGTAAATCTGGAGAATGTAAGGATGGAGGGAAGACGAATCTTGCTGGCTTAGGTGTAGATGGCTAGAAAAAGGAGCGTGTAGATGAAAGCTCCAGCAAATATCGTCACTTTCATCTAATTTTTATTCTCACTCACCATTTCGGCTTTATCTTCGAAATTCATTTTTAAAAGAAAATAAAAGTAATCATTCATACAAGCATATAATAAAACAACATGAATTCATTATATTTAATAAGCTAATAAACGTTTGTTTCAATGAAAAAAACATATATGTGAGTATAAAAAATATATAAATAGATAAGATTGATATCAAAATCAATTTGAAAATACAACAGATAATAAAATGAAATAAATTAATACAAGTACAAATAGAAAGTTAATAACATACCTTCTAAAAGTAACACATTTTAGGTAGATAAATGTTTAAAGAGTTTAATTCTGAACATAACTAATCTAACGTTTTTCCCCTTTTTAATATTATGAGGGTTTTTGTAGTTGAAATGAAAATTATAATTTATTTTGGTCCTCATAAAAATTTAAACATAGGTTATCAAAGAGTAAAATTCATAATAGAACTTCATAATCTTAAATCGTTATTAAAAATTATTAATGGTAAAACTTTAAACAATAATTAGATTCTTAAACAAATTTCTAGTTTTTGTTTTGCAAAAGACTTTCTTGCCTTCTTCGGTTGCCTCTGCCACTTTTCTTTTAGTAGTTTCGAGGAGAATTTTCCTATGGAAACCAGTAGAACCATCAATTGGTTGGTAAAATTTTGATATTTTGTGTCTGGTAAGTCTTGTTAAACTTTCTTCTTAGGAAGCTATAACCTTATGGAGAATAAAAATTTAATGTTAGATCAAAAGCTCTTAATTGAGAATTATATTTGCAAATGCCGTTTTAATAATATTTTCAAAAGTTCTTGGAATCATTGTAAACAGAAACCTGCAAAAAATATATAATTTTATTCCTAAAATATAAGATATCACACAATGCATATTCATATAATATCATTGTGCTAGAAAAATACTAGGTAGTTACTGAGACAATTTAAAAAAAAGTATTTCGAGAAACTCAACTTTTAATGTCATCATTGTACTTAACTTTTTTATTGCTAAATAATTAATAATGTCATTTTGTGTAGTTCGTTGTGATTTTTATAATATATATTATAAAAACCTATCGTCAATGTTAATGTGCCAAGTTTTTTTAATAATTATGTCCTTGTTATAGTAAAAACACATTTAAACACATTTTTAAAGTTTTCAGGATTTCTGCTTTAAAGTATCGTACAATTGGACTGACTAATTGTGTGTTTAAGTAAAGGTATATCTCTTTTTTGTTATAACAGTCTTTGTATATTGTTCTAACTTTTTAGATAATGAGAGAAAACAGTAAGACATCTTAATATATTCTATTTCACCAACAAAAATGTAAAATAATTAATCTCACATCAACCGAAAAAAGTAATTTTAGGATGTCCTAATAGGTTTTAACTTAAAAACTAAATAAAATGTATATTGCAACTGTGTTTAAATAAATGAATGTTTTTATACCTGACTATAGCACTAGACAAACATTTTTTTAGATCATAATGATCTGCATAACTCAAAATAGTCAAAATCCACATTATTTAAGTTGTTCTAGTATTGTTTTAGCATAACGATGTTAACTCCAATAATAAATATTCACATTTTTTTGGGACGTTTTTTAAGGAAATTAAAAAAAAACATGAATAATGTGATTCTTGTTTAGTTTTGTACTATAGAATATAGTTCATTAGGTAGTGATTTAGAAGCAAATTATGTTTTATTTATAGAATAAAAAATCACTCATAATATCTAAATATTTATACCTATTTATATTTTGGACAGGAAGACTATTTTATGTTTTTGGCTCTGAATACTTTTCTTAAGAATTTTAAAACCTTCCTTAGCTCTTTTGGGATATTCCATGTATATCTTAGAAGTTCATTTTGTTTAAACCTAAAACAAATTAAGTACAAAAAATTAACATTTAAACAATACACAAAATTAGTCTTTTAGATTAGTTAAAAAAAAGTGTCAACAAAAAAATAGCTATGCCTTTTTCCTTAAACATTCTTTTTGAAAGAAACTTAAGTTTCTCTACTTACTTCTGGCGCTGTCAAACTTGGCAACGCTGATTAAATAAGCCAATTACAGAAGAGGTATTTTCCCCCTCGGGGGGAGTAGATGTTGCTAACAAAATTTAGCGCGGGGAAGGGGGGAAGACTCCCTCTAGTAGTAATTGCTCGGAGCATTAAATTTGCAAGTAATACAAGACGTCACTTTAATTTTATATCTCTTTATATATAATATATAACACGATGCATTTATAAAACGTATGTCACTAATATGTGGCGGTAACTGACGGCAACACTGTCAACTACTAGAGTACGTACAGGTCCGGTGTAAGCCATATATAAATGGAAAATAATAATTTAATGTTTTGATTGAGTTAAATAAAATATCAAAATTAAGTATGTTTATTTTTAAGTAAACGACATTTTTAAATGTATACGTCTTCAATTAAAAATAATATAGACTAATACTCAAATATATACGAGTGTACTCGAGAAAAGATAATTTTACACTTTATTCGAGTTTTTTGAATTAAACCAACGATCATTGTAATGAAACCAGCGGTAAAATAGACATTTGTGTACCAAGGCTGTGTTTTGGCCGAATTAGATATTTGCGTCCGAGGCTAAGCGACTTCTGGATTTTTGGCTAGCGAAGTGATCGATGACCAGATTATTAAAATTTGGAATGGACCAAATAATTTTTTTTTTTCGATGGATAACATGGCTAACGCGAACAATCTATCTTGGCACATAGTGTTTCTTAAAAATCTTTTAATACGTTTCTTCTTTCTTCTTTCACTCTCCACTGTGGTCAGCAGAATTGTACACAGGATAATTAGCAGCTCCGCAGATTCCGAAAATGTAATTGTCAAATTGTTCTCAAAAAACATTTTTAATAACGGTACGACCCCATTGTGTTGCACAAAGTCATCTCGGGTATAAAGTATGGACAGTTCGTTTTTGAATTGTAAGCTGTTTACGTTTAGAAATAAACTACACACAGTTTTAACGTCCTCATTTGGAAAACAATCTCGGTAGTCTTTAAATTTTTCACTATCAAATAAACTTGCAATTGTTAGGTGGGTAGTAAAACTAAAACGTTCATTTACCTGCACTACTATTGTATCACAAATTTCCTTACATATCCTTAAATTAGGAATGGGGTCCTCCTTTTCAACAAACTGTCTCTTCTTGCTTGTACTTGGACCTGATTGGGTGTTGTCGTTTAAGTTCTTGTGGGTCTTGTTGTGATTGCCATTCTTTATGAATTAGCGTGTCTATATTATTTCTAATATTTTGAATAGCTGCTGCAAAATTTGATATGTTTATCTTAACCTTGAGAGCATCGAGTTGTCTACTCTGCGGTTGATCAAAAAGTATATCGCAATTTGACATTATTTTGCTGAAGAAAAATAACCAGAAACTAAAATCTGTCTTTCAGAATGTATCAACCCTTTATTCTGATTAATGGTTTTTTTATGGAATTCTGTGTTCATAATTTCTTC